ACAATTTATAATATTAAGAAATATATTAAAATGCAATTATAAATTTACAACACAAATATTGACAAATATATCTGATAATAATTTTTTAATTGTCGACATGATCATTCGTAATCGATCTATACGTAATATTTTAGAATTGATTATTCGTATAATTTTAATAACTACAGGTATACATATACATATACATATATATATATATATGTATGTATGTAGGTACCAGTTGGTACTAGTCAATTTGTAATTAATTGTCTTGGCTTTACGGTTTTTTCCTCCCTCCTCCTCCTCCTCACCCCCATCTCACATACTATCGTCAACTTTAATGAAATGTCATGTGAACGATAGATTAAAAAATAAAAAACGTAATATTCGAAAGATCAATAACTTAAAATCTATCGATGATTTAAATAACGAGGACAACGACATCGATGCATCAATTCTTTGATATTTAATTTAAATGTTATGACGAAATGGGGTGGGTGGGGGTGGAGGTTGAGGAGATGATTCAAATGAATCATTAATGAAATAAAATTAACGTACTTTATTCGCGACAGTGTTAGAAATTTAATAATCGATTAATAATTGAAATTCTCTATCAGGATACGGTTCTTAAAAGATCGAAAGAAAAAAAATATTACGATGGGTCATTTTTTTATACAGGAATAAAATGCAATGGAGCTTGCGTTGTGTGTCCTAGAGGCCAGCTTTCGAAAGTTCAATGAAACTAGGCCGAGTGGTATCGAATTAACGTAGGTTAGTAACCAAATTTTATTTTTTGATCGAAGATGAAGTTCCATTTCTTTTTTCTTTTTTATTTCTTTTTTTTTTCGAAACACCTCGTTAAATACGAAATATTACGAGAAGAATAAATATTTCTTTTTGTTTTTTTTTTTTGGTGTATATAAAAAGAAAATAAAAAAATAAAAGCCGAAGAAGAAATACGAATGACGACAGACAGACAACAGGTAAAATAATAAAAGGTAAGGGTATATTATACGCGTGTGCTAGTTGACGGGGAAAATCAATAACTCGGTTCGGGTCGATGCACTCGACTCGATCGTCTTCTCAATTTTTTTCTTTTTTTTTATTTTTCGGAACGATTTCAATTAACTACTTACTGGCAGCTTCTTAAATCGTAGACTCGATAATCAATTGGTGAAAGGAATAACAATGATATTATATGGAAGTCGTGCAAAATGTGTCACGTAATATTTAAGACGAAAAAAAAAGAAACGAATGGACGTAAAAGTATATCGAAAATAAGATCGATCAAAAGTATATCTTACTTGTTTTATTTTTCTCTTTTCCTCTTGATAAATAATATTCGAGACAATATTAAAAAACACTACTTCGATTCGTATATGTTGTCATATTTCTGTCATTTTTTTGAAAACTCGTAAGAAACGATTTGGAAACTCGTACTCTCGTTGACAGTAAATTTAATCGAAGGAAACGTCACTGTGCGACGAATTGACACGAACTAAATCGTCGGGATCTTTCGAGCGACTGCAACGCCACCCGCGGCGAATTAATGCAACATGGTCAAAAATCCCTAGAACGTGGCCAATAGGCGAAATTTATAATATTTATTTAAGAAAGCTCCAACCAGTGACGGATTAAACGATAATCGATCAAAGTGGTCACGTAGGACCTCGAAAGGACCATCCCAAAGGACTTCGAGGTATTAATATTTCTTTTTATTGAAGATAGAGTAAAATTAAGTTTTTTTTTTTTAATAAATTTAATTAATGTCTTATGGTATGAAATTTTTTATTATTTTATCTTTTATTATTAATAATTCAATGGAAGTTTTCTTGAAACTTTCTATTTCTAACTTGAATTTGAGGCTCCCATTTGATTTGATCCACCACTGGCTCTAGATATAAATTTTTAACAAATCCTGAACTCTAATTGGCTAACCCACGTTCTGGGGATTTTTAACTGCAATGCGCAGTGCATGTTATTTAGCAATACGCGCAGCGCGCGTTCTCGATTGCGCCACCTTGAAAGCTTCACCTTTTTTTCTTTTTTTATTTTCGATAAATTTGTCATCTTCCCCTACCATCCCTTTTCTTTTCCTCTCTCTCTCTATCTCTTTGTCTTTTTTTCTTTCTTTTTCTCTATTCTGCATACTGTAAACGTTTTTAAAGCAATGAATAAACGTTTAGCCTTGGCTCGTACGGAACATTATATGCACAATTTAACTGCTAAAAAAATATTCAACTCACTTTACAAATGTAAAATTTATTCGCGTATATCTCTTGTTTTCTTTAAATAAAATTAAAAAAAAAATATAAAACACAAAAGATTTTATTTTTAATGCAACATTATATAAACTTAAACGTTACAATGTCGTTCAAATATATCTGTTATAAAAATAAAAAGGTGTAGCAGGGTGTTCATATTGATCACGCTTGTTCATTTGTTCTCTGCACATGTCACTCGATGTTCGAAAAAGGTATGTTGTGTATATTTTGATTTATAATATTATACGTTTATCAGCATGAACATAATATATAACATTTTCTTATTGAAAAATAATTATCAAAGAAGAATTGTTGTTATATGTGGTAGAGAGAAAAAGAAGGGGAATAGTTTGATCGATGCAATGAGCCCGGTGTTATGAATACACATATATATATATAAAAATAAATATATATATATACAGTGACAGAAACAAAGAGATGGTCAAGAATAAACTTGAGAAGATGACTGATGATCTTTGATAATCATTAAAAGAAGACAAGAGGATTAATTAATTATTCTTTAAATGAATATACCGGCGCGAATTTGACAGATTGCGAATTCTGTTATTGGATTCTTTATTATCTCTCTCTCTCTTTCTTTCACATAATCTTACATTGGTCTCCTCTCTCTCTCTCTCTCTCTGTCTCTCTTTCTTTTACATAACCTTCCATCGGTCTCCTATCTCTTTCTATCAACTCTCCTTGCATAGGAGAGATGAGGATAACCTTCAATGGAGAAAACACAAGTATTTTCCAAGAACCGAACAACGACAACCTACTGTGAAATGGTTTGCCCATCGGCAGAGGAATTAAGTGTTATTAAAAATAGCATATGCTGCGAGCAATGCGGTTTATTGTTCCGAAACGAGCCACGATATCGGTTGCACGATTTAAAGGTACATCAAAGAAAAAAATTAGGAAAAATAACAAAGGAAAATGTTCGTTATCACTGCCCGGTAGAAACTTGTGTTTATGCTCCAGAATCGGAAAGATATTTTACCACGATGAAATATCTCAAACAGGTTTGTTATAATCATATAAATGGATTATCGAGAAATCAATCAAATCATTTTATTCTAATTTGATGCAGCATTATTTGAAAGTGCACGCTGAGAAGACATTCGCTTGTACAAGTTGCGCTAAAAGTTTCTCCACCGAAGCTGCCAAAGAAGGACACATGAGGATATGCGGCATTGAATTTTCCTGTTATTGTTCGAAGACTTACAGCACTTACGAGGCACTCCTTACACATGCTAAAAGATCTTTGCATACTATAGACAATAAATATAAAAGCTCTTTAAGGTAAGCTCGATTTTTATCTAAAGCAAATGTTATTTCATTTTTAAGTTGATCTAATGTATATATATATATTATTTACAATCACATACTACATAATAACAATACTTATTTTTAGACGGACTAACTCAAAGATCACTCGTGCTATCCCTTTATCTCCTACTGTTGTATCTACTATAAACAAGCCGGTTAATATTTTACCGAGTCATAATAACAATGAAGGAAATAATTCTAATGTTAATGTAACTGAAAAAACTACCGTCGATATTGGCGTACAAACTGATGAATATAAGAAGTATAGAAGAGCATCCAGTCCGCTAAAACAGGTCTCTAATGGTAATGGAGCCAGTGGAAAACGAAGAGTATCTAGACAAACGCAAACAATCGGATTACAAGGTGAAAAACATGGTGTTATATCGATGGAGACGCAAACTCCGGACACTAAATTTATTGGAAAGGAACCATTTAAAGTTAGAAAACGTAGGAAGAGTAATTCAATAGCTAAAAAGCCCGAATCTTCGTTGTTAAAAGAAGATATCAATTTAGAAGATAATTTTACTTCCTCCAATCTATTTCCTGCTAGTCCATTGACATTAAGACATGATGTAGGCTTACAAGACTTTTGGGAAGAGAAAAACAATTCTGGTACACAAACTATATCTAAAAAGGATATGTTTGAGGCATTACATGACAACGTTTCTCAAACAGATTTAGAAACTTTTTATAGCCATAGTAACAGTTCACTGATACAGTGCTTACCCAAAAGTACTGTAGCATTAATGACGTTACCTTATACGGAAGATTCAACTGTCGTTAATAACGAAGAATATCCATTTTCTTCGACTAATAATATATCGAGGTCAGATCCTATGTTAACGGAAAAAACTTTCCATGACAAATTCAGTAGTATAGAGACACAAACAGAACAAGGATATTCTCAGACGTTTTTTGACTCTGATGCTTTATCCAGAACATTTGCTTTGAGTTCTACCATCGAAACTCAGACAACAGATAATTTTGATAATATGGAACAATTGTTCTACAATAATACTTACACTCAAACTTCGGATGAAATGATATCGCCCGATTTAGTATTAACCAATATTCAAACTCAAACTGCTTGGACGCAATTGGACGATACAACAGTTTCCGCCGAAACTCAAACTAAATCATTAATTTGTGAAACGGGTTGCAATATTTCGATGGGTGCTTGTCGTTCATGGCTAAATGCACAAATGAGTCATACTGAAACTCAAACCGATCTGTTTAGCATATTTGAAGGTCTTCAGTAATAGAAAAATATATATGTTAATCAGTCTTAAGAATCTTTCGTAATACTTACATATGCCAATACTTACGTTTTATTTTTCGTTTTGTAAGAGAGAACTTGCCTATTCCTTCAAAACTGCGTTTTTGTTGGATGATCGTTAATTATTTCTCAAAACGTTATGTGATAATTGATAGCATTTTATACAACGAACACTGCCATATATATATATATATACATTAT